CAAACAATCTGCTTAGCTCGAGCCACGGCCTCAGCATATTTCTTGCTGCTCTCAGTACCACAGTCCAAGCCCTGGAGGGTAGAATCAAGAGGGTGAACGTTAACACAACTAACTCACTTGCGAACGGGCGGGCAGCGGTGGCGCACGCCCTTAATCCCAGCACTCAGGAGGCTGAGGCAGGCGGATCTCTGTGAGTTCAAGGCCAGCCTGGTCTACAGAGTGAGTTCCCGGACAGCCAGGGCTACAGAGAATCTCGGTTGTTGTAGAATTTTTTTTTTATCCAGACAGGGTTTCTATGTAGTTTTGGTGTCTGTCCTGGATCTCACTCTGTAGACCAGGCTGGCCTCAAACTCACAGACATCCTCCTGCCTCTGCCTCCCAAGTGCTGGGATTAAAGACGTGCACTACCACCACCTGGTATAGAATATTATTTTAAGATGAATTACATTTGTTTATGCTGAAGAACACTTGTTTTAATGATGCAAAGATGTGTTGCATTCTTTTATGTTGCATTTGTTTAACTCCATGAAGCTGTGTTACTGTGCCTGTCTGATGGTCTAATAAAGAGCTGAATGGTAAATAGTAAGGCAGGAGGAAGGATAGGCGGGGCTGGCAGGCAGAGAGAATAAATAGAGGAAGAAAAAGAGAGAAAAATGAATAAGGAGCAAAAAAAAAAAGAAAAAGAAAGGGCCAGCCACCCAGTCACACAGCCAGACACAGAATAAGAAGGAAAGAAAAGATATACAGAAATAGAGAAACATAAAAATCCAGAGGCAAAAGGTAAACAGGATAATTTAAATTAAGAGAAGCTGACTAGAAATAAGCCAAGCTAAGGCCAGGAATTTATAAGTGAGAATAAGTCTCCATGTGATTTATTTGGGAGCTGGGTGGCAGGCCCCCAAAGAGACAAAAGAGTCAAAACAAACAAATAATTAACAACACTGTCTTGATAAACAAACAAAAAATGTTAAAATCTGTTTCAAGTTTTATTCATTTGTGTGTGTATGTGTGGGAGGACAATTTTGGAAAAGTAGGGTTTTCCCTTTCCATAAAGTGGGTCCTGGGGATTGAACTCAGGTTGTCAGATTTGGTGGCAAGTGATTTTACCTACTCAACTATTGAGCTAGTCCTAGTCTAGAGTGCATTCCAGGATAGGCCCCAAAGCTACACACAGAAACTGTCTCAAAAAAACCATAAAAAAGGAAAACTTACTAGCACCAAATATCACCTCTACCAAGACCCTAATGTAAGGCTGAATGAACATCAAGAGTTTCTAGTAGAATCAAAATGCATGCATCCTCTAGCCTGTGTGTATATGCCTTTTGACAAAAACATTTTACTTTATGGATCAAATAAGGCCAAACCTCATGTTGCCTAATAGCAGCCAAGATCTAGATCAGTGGTTCTCACCCAGATCGATTCTGCCTATCAGACCAGTATGTGCCAATGTCTGCAGAGGTTTTCGGTTGTTGCAACTTGGGCTGAACACAACTGACACCTTGCAGCTAGTGATACTTTTCATGTGTCGCAATATACCAACAGCCTTGCCACAGCTAGAACTATTTGAGATGTCAATAGACTGAGACACACTGAACTAGATCAGTTGTGTTCAAACCCTCCATGTATCATAAGCTCCAGAAGCCTTGGTCAAAAACAGTGGGTTGACTCTCACTCCTAGGGCTTCTGATTCAGTAAGTCTAAAATAGGGCTCAAGAATTTGCCTCTTTTTGTTTGTTTGTTTTTTGAGACAGGATCTCACTATTCACCCTCGACTGGCCAGGAATTTGCTATGTAGACCAGGCCAGCCTCAAACTCACACAGTCTATATGATTTATTTATGCTCATGCATGTGTATATGCCACAAGTATGTGGGGGGGGGCTCAGAGACCAGAAAGGGCATTGGATCCCCTGGCACTGGAATTATAGGTGGTTGTGAACCACTCGATGTGGGTACCAGAAACCTAACTCTCCCCATTAAGTGCTAAAGCCATCTCTTCAGATCCCAAATCTGCCTTTTTAAAACAACTTCCAAAAATGATGCTTGTGGGACCACACTTTGGGAAACAATGAAACAGAAAAATGTCTAACAAATGAAAAATAGTGAGCAAACAAGCATATAAACATATAAAGATATGACTTTACACAGTTATCAAACTAATGTGAAAGCCAGGTGTAATGGCACATCAGTTTAGGGTCCAGAAATATAGCTCAGGTCCCTCGGGTTTGTGTAGCAAGCACTTTGACCTACTGAGCCACCTCGTTGACCTGAAAGTTTACTTAGAATGACTTGTAGTTAGCCTTGTGGTCCAGAACAGTTCAGACCATCTCCAGCACAAACACTGAAGAATATTCAAAAAGTGGGTTTGCACTATTATTGGTTAAACTGCAGCAATTACTCCATGCAATTGCCCTCCAAGTGCCCATTGCAACATTTCCCGTCCTCTTTGAGTCCCATGGAAATTAATAAATATAAAACATTTGCTGGAGAGGAGGGCACAGCTCAGCAGCAGAGCACTTCTTAACATCTGTGAAACACTCAGCTGGATCTCCAATGCCACAAAAAAATTTGCTAGATGAGTGAATTTTCTGACCACTTACATAACCAACCAACCAACCAACCAACTCACCATCCAGCCAGCAGGTATACCCGAGGCCACAGTAGCTTGGCCAGTCTTGGCATTCTCATCAAATTTGTCAGCAGTGACAAAGTCAACAGGCAAGGTAATCTTCACACCATTCTTCTCAGCTTTGGACATGAGATCTTTGACAATCTTGGCTCCTTCTTCATCATACAGAGAAGTTCCAATCTACACAAGAGAGCCGAGGAAATGAAGATCAGCCTCTAAACTAAGAACATGACTGACTCACCACCGACGGGAGCATAACATACTCTAAGGTAATACAGATGAAATGGAAATGTTTTTAGGACTCACTACAGAAGCCATTTCACAGCCACTTGCCATGGGTTTCCTACCTCCATGTTGTTGAGCACCTTCAGGAAGGTAAAAGCCATTCCACCACCAATGATCATCTCATTGACTTTGTCCAGCATATTATTGATCAGCTGGATCTTGTCTGCAACTTTCGCTCTAGAAGGGAAAGCAAGAATCATCACCACACAAAGCACACAATTGGTGGTGCTAAAACTCAGACACAGCAGGAGAAAAGGAAATGCCCCAAAATGGCAAAAGTACTGCCTAACTTGGCCATGTTTCTCCATCACTCCATGCTTTGAAGAAATCCTCAAGGCAGCTCCAGAACAAGGGCTTAAAAAGGATATTCGCAGGTTAAGGGTAGAGCTAAGTATGAGAACATGTCTTCCATGTGTAAAACCCTGGGTTTGATCCTCAGCACCAAACCAGAAAAACGAAACCTCCCTTATCTAAACAGCCACACCCCATCCAAAATTCAAAGCCCAGATTGCCAGATTAGTAACTGTGATGGTTTGAATGGAAATGGTCTCCAGAGACTAATATTTGCATGCATATTCCCAGTTGAATGTCTGAAAAGCATGAGGTAGTGTGGCCTTGTTAGAGGAGGAGTGTCATTAAGAGTGGTTTAAGGCAACCAAAACCCATGCCAGGCCCAGCATCTGTCTGTCTCTCTGCCTCCAGCCTGTACATCCAGGAAAACCATAGTCTATCTTTAGGATTCAGGCTAACCTTGGTTTCAAGTGTTCAGAGATCTTACGACATATGCCCTGTGATTAAAAGACGGCTATACTTCAATCTTACTCTAAAATCTGAACACACCAGTAGTTGACTCCCATATTCCAGATCTTCAGAAAACCTAAGAACCAAACCCAGACAACTCAACGGAGAAGCCAGAGACAAGAGTCTGATGCTTTTAAGTCAGTAAACAAAAGTTTCAATGTTTCCAGGAACTAACATTTTTGCAAGACAACATAAAAACCTACACCCATCTGGATTATTTTTAGGACTCTGAAACAGGGCTCATGAAGCCTAGAGAGCAACTATGCTAGGTGAAGCTGACACCCAGTTCCAGAGTCAAATTTCACCAGGAAATGCTGAGTGTGCTTAGTGATGTGGAAGGGGAAAAAAAAAAACATCCCATAGATGGGTCATGGTCCTCTACCCGAAAGAGGCTGATGCCTAAACAGCTATGCCAAGTGAAAGGCAGCTTTCTCATCCAAGCAGGCCAAGTTCCTTCTTCCTACTTTAGGTGCAATGTAGCCACTCGACCGTCACTTCTGAAAATTCTTGGCTAAACTATTATGATTACCCACATACTGCCTTTCCCCACAAGAAACATAAAATAGGTACATGGTCTGGATGGAGAGTCACATCTAAATGATCCTTTAAGCACTCAGAGGGAAGTTTTCAGTTATTCCCTACCAGGCTGCAATCTACCAGCTTTAGAACTGTTTTAAAAAGCACCTTGCCAGGTGTATGGCCCAAGCATGTCATCCTAGAGCTCAGGAAGTTGAAGCATGAGGGTCAGGGAAAGATCATCCTGGACTACAAAGCAATTTCAAGGCTAGCCTGGGGTATGTGAGACCTTATCTTAAAGGGGAAAAGAAGAAGCCCAGAGACTGAGATGAGCACCCCCAAGGGATCAGTCTCCATTTTCCCCTGTGGAACCATTTTCTGTCCTTCTCTACATTCTTCTGTCCCACCAATCTGACCTACATAGACCACATTAAGAGGCTCACATGCCTTCTGCTTTCCAGGTAAGCTGGCCAATCAGTGGTGCATGCAGGGGGTGTCCAGGCAGAAACTGAAGAATAGGCACAAGTATCCTTCCCTGGCTCCTTCTACCAGTTGACCAACCCTATATCCCCTGACTAAAGAAAGACCAGAGGATTCTAATCAGACTGCCTTCTTCCACGGACTACCTCTCTGGAATCCTCTGTATCTTCAGATGCTGATGGCTATTAATAAACCCAGATGATAGATGGCAGGGCCTTCCCTATACCCCACCCTCACCTGTCAACAGTCTCTATTAAATTCTCCTCAGTTACCCATTGTGATTATGCTATCTGACCATAAGCCACCCATGTTATGGACCACTACCAGGCTAACACTATTTAACATGGTCCCGAGGTGTTCTTCATACCCTCCCAAGATAGCCAGGAAGGGTCGTTCAGGACTCTCCAAAGCTTTGGCAAAGTAGTTCAGTTCCTTCTTCATCAAAAATCCACCAGCCTTCTGTGGCAGATTCACACCCACCATGGAGCTAGAAGGAAAAAAAAAGAAACCAAATTTATTCAAAATCCAGTCAAATTCTACCATTTTTTTCCCCAGACCCAGAAACCAGCTCCTTATCACTAAAATGTTTTCATCAGCTGGGAAACCATGGTTCCATCCCTAAACTGCAATAAGGCCAGTTACATCTTAGATACATTTCTGACTAAGTTTATGACAAGCAATGGACTGAGGTGGAATTTAAAATACCCAGTTAGGTCAGGGTCTGAGATAGGTCCTCTGCATATACTAATGTATATGGTTACGGTTGTGTAGCTGGGTGTTCTTATGGGACTCAAGATGTATGCCACCATACCCAGAAGTACTCTGTTTCATCTCAACATCAATACAAATAAATGAATGGCAGGCCAGTACCATTCTGTAATCTAAAATTCTAATTGCTTTAATAAAAGACTAAAATCTTCCCAGTTTTGCCTGCTCTTGGGACCCTTTTCCTCCTACTGGGGATGTGCCTAGTCCTATCGTAAGTTGGTTCTGCCACATCCAATTGCCATCCCTAGGAGACTTAGTTTTTGAGAGGGGAAACAGGAGCGGATCTTGGGGAGAGGGGAAGTAGGAGAGTGGCCCGGGAGAAGCGCAGGGAGGGGGAACTATGGAGGGGCTGCTCAAGATCACTGTACTCTGCCTAGTACTGACAAGGCTCTCGGTACCTGTGGGCTCGGTGTGCAGTCCCAAAAGCATCATTGACATAGACATCCCCAAGTTTGGACAGTGAGGCTCGGAAAGCATCAATTTTGGCTGGCTCGGCTTTAATCTGCAGAGAAAAATTTAAAGAGGAAAATCTAACATGGGAATCCTCTTGAACATCTTGAGGACCCTGAGTTAGTAGGGCAAGTTTTACTATTAGCAACAGGGTCTGTTCTTTCTCCTAAATATTTCAGGTCCTTTGGTCATTTCTTGTCTCCATTACCTCCCCCTGAAAATCATAGATGCCATAGATATTATCAGGACATACCTCATTTTTGACTTGCCAATGAGTATAAGGAAGGCAATGTTAATTCTGAAAATACCAATTTGAACACACTGAACATTCAATTATGGGGCTGGAAAGATGGCCCAGTGGTTAAGAGCACTTGCTGCTCCTCCAGAACCCATACTGGAGCTCACACTCGCCTGCAAAAATCAACTTTTAAAAACTGAATTGTCTTCATTTGGTTTGTGTCCAGTGTGAACTTGTAACTGAATGCCTGCAATTTCAGGCATTCTAAATAAGCCATTAGAGCGAAGAGCAAGTGAATTCACTAAAAGTGAAGTCAGAGACTAGCAGTCAGTTCACTGATTCCTGAATAAAACCTCCCGCCGAGTCACCTTTCCAGTTGCCGCCTGCCACTTCTAAGCACTCAAGTTTGGGCATCTTGAGTTTCAGTTTAAAAGGGCACCGAATTTTAGGTCAGCATTGAGTAGTACTGTAGCAAGACCACGCCAAGGCAGGGCAGGGCCAGCTCAGGACCAACACTGCTAAGAAAAGAAACTGCTTGAAAGCGGGCACTCCAGATGACCTTAAGAAATGTCAGAAGTCAAAAGGGGACTGACATATACCCTCAGAGCATCTTGTTCTTTCATCTCTAAAGCCCCAAAGAGTAGAAGGTACTAGGAACTGCCCTTGGCTAACTACCCAAAGGGCAAATCCAAAATCATACTCAGAGGCGGTTTTAACATTTAGTGACTGAATTCTGTTGTCGTCTAGTGACCAGTCTTGTGGCTTATCTACAGCTTTTATGACAATGGCATGTGAATAGATCCAACAGGACTGTATACAATTGCAATTGACTGCATGAGCCACATAGCCTCCACCATTTGCTACGTGGCTCTTTGTAGAAAAAAAGCTTGCAGATCTAACGGACTGAGCTATAAAGGCCAGCAACAGCACCACTACTAACTTCAGCAAAATGGCTGCCTTTCTGAAACCCAGGCTTCTTTCTGAGATGTTTCCTTAGGAAATGAGGATGACACCTGTACCTACTTTTTTGGGGGGAGGGGGGTTTCAGGACAGGGTTTCTGTGTAGCCCAGGCTGGCCTCAAACTCAGAGATGCACCTGGCTCTGCCTCCCGAGTGCTGGGATTAAAGGCATGTGCCACCACTGCCCAGCCTGTACCTACTTATCTTACAGAGACTCAAATGTCCTGAGTCAGGTGAGAGGCCAAGCACTTGGAAGGTGGAGCAATCAGGAGCTCAAGGTCGTCCTAGGCTACCTCAAGTTCATTCAAGACCAGCCTGAGCTACACAGTACATGAGCTACATGAGACCTTGTCTCCAACCACTCCTACACTACCCAAGAAAGGAAAATCTTAAGTTCAATGCCTTAAAGAATCTCACCATGACCATTACCCTCACCAAATACTCTGATTACCTAAGAGCATTCATGTATTTTTTTTTTTTTCATTTTGTTTTTGAGACAGGGTTTCCAGGTTTCCAGGCTGGCCTGGAAATGTTTGTAGACCAGGCTGGCCTTGAACTCAAGAGATCCACCTGCCTAATTCATGTATTTTTGAAAAAGTCAACAGGAAGAGAGCTTCTGCAGCGCTGGTCACATTCCACTCCTTCACTGGGTAGTGATTATATAATGTGTGTACTCTGTGCTAATTGGTAATTCATCACGTACATTTAAACAACTGCTTTTGTTCTGCAGTGCTGAGGATTGTACCCGGGGCATCGTACACTATCATGAGCTACATCCATGGTCCACATTTGTACAGTTTTACAAGGATGTTATACCTCAATTTTAAAAGGTGTTTGGGCAAATCAAGATGAATTTCCACTATTCTTTAATCATGGCCTCATACAAATTCAGGCCCAAAGGCCCAATAATATCAAAATCACAGGTCCTACCTTGTTCCCAGAAGCATCTTTTCCCTTCCCTTCTTCCTCTACATGAAAGCGGAGGTTCTCCAGCAGGATGACAGTGCCAGCTGCTGGGTTGGCACAGGCATTCTCTACTTCTGGGCCCACACAATCCTTCAAGAACAGAACATCCCTGGGGGAGGGAGGAGCAAGAAATGAAGATTAGAGCAGCCTGAAAGCTGAGACCCAGCGACAGCACGCCCGACTGCTGAGAACCAGACCACCTCACCTCCCCAGCTCACCAGCACCAACCAGAGCCCTGTACTTACTTGCCCAGCAGAGATTTGAGTTCTGCGGCAACTGGCTCTAAGGAGTACTTGTCAGGCATGGGAACACCATCAGGCCGGCCCAGGTGGCTCATAAGGACAACCGACTTGGCGCCATTGTCCAAGCAGAATTTGATGCTTGGGACAGCAGCCTTGATCCTTTGGTTATTTGTGATCTGGTTGTTCTTCATAGGAACATTGAAGTCCACCCTCATCACGACCTGCTTCCCCTTCACGTCCAGCTTGTCCAAAGTCAGCTTGTTAGAAAGCGACATTTTGGCAACACGGTGAGATCAAGAGGCACGGACCCGAGGAAGAGCGACAGATTTTTTTTTTTTTTATGTTAAGCCATCCAGACATCTCTGGGATGAAGCCTACTTGATCATGGTGGATGATTTTTTTTCGGGGATTCAGTTTGCCAGTATTTTATTAAGTATTTTTGCATCAATGTTTATGAGGGAGACTGATCTATAATTCTCCCTCTTTGTTGCATCTTTGTGTAGTTTGAGTATCAGGGTACCTGTAGCCTCATGAAAAGAATTTGGCAATATTCCTTCTGTTTCTATTGTGTTGAACAATTTGAGGAGTATTGGTATTAGCTATTCTTTGAAATTCTCTTGGAATTCTGAATTGAAACCATTTGGCCCTGGGATTTTTTTTTTGGTTGGGAGAGTTTTATTGACTGCTTCTATTTTCTTAGGGGTAATGGGTCTATTCAAATAGTTTATCTGGTCTTGATTTAATTTTGTTATGTGGTACCTATTAAGAAAATTGTCCATTTCTTTTAGATTTTTGAATTTTGTGAGGGAAGGTTTTTTGAAGCATGACCTAATGGTTCTCTGGATCTCCTCAGTGTCTGTTGTTATGTCCCCCTTTTCTTATTTTGTTAATTTTGATATTCTTTCTCTGCCTTTTGGTTAGTTTGGATAAGGGTTTGTCTATCTTGTTGATTTTCTCAAAGAACCAACTCTTTGTGTCATCGATTCTTTGTACTTTTCTCCTTGTTTCTATTTTATTGATTTAGCCCTGAGTTTGATTATTTCCTGCCATCTACTCCTCCTGGGTGAGTTTGCTTCTTTTTGTTTTAGAGCTTTAATGCATGCTGTTAAGTCACTAGCGTGATATTTCTCCAAATTCTTTTTGTAGGCACTTAGTGCTATAAATTTTCCTCTTAGTTCTGCTTTCATTGTGTTTGACAAGTTTGGGTATGTTGTGCATTCATTTTCATTGAGTTTGAGGAAGACTTTCATTTCTTTATTTCTTCCTTGACCTAGTGGAGATTCAGTTGAGACTTGTTCAGTTTCCATGAGTTTTAGGCTTTATGTAGTTGTATTGTTGAACTCTAACTTTTCCCATGGTGCTCCAATGAAACACATCGGGTTATTCTGATTTTTTAAATATCTGTTGAGATTTACTTTGTGAGCAAGTATGTAGTCAATTTTAGAGAAGATTCCATGAGGTGTGGGGAAGAAGGTATATTCTTTTGTGTTTGGGTAAAATGTTCTGTAGAACCTCAAGTCAATTTGGATCAAAACATCTGTTAGTTCCCTTATTTTCTGGCAGACCTGTCCATTATTGAGAGTTGGGTGTTGAAGTCCCCTACTATTAATGTGTGGACTTGAGCTTTACTAATGTCTCTTACACATATGGGTGCCCTTGTATTTGGGGCATAAATGTTCAGATTTGAGACTTCATCTTGATTAATTCTTTCCTATGATAAATATGAAATGTCCTTCATCTCTTTTGATTAATTTTAGCTTTAAGTTTATTTTGTTAGCTATTCAGGCAGCTACACCAGCTTGCTTATTAGTTTCATTTCATTGGAAAATCTTTCCCCAACTTTTTACTCTGAGTAATGCTTGTCTTTGAAATTGAGGTATGTTTCTTATATGCAGCAGAAGAATGGATCCAGTTTTATTTTATTTTTTATCTATTTTGTTAGCCTGTGTCTTTTTATGGTGAATTGAGTCCATTACTATTTTTTGAGTCCATTACTATTAAGAGATATTAATGACCAGTGATTGTTAATTCCTGTTTTTTTTGGTTTTGGTGGTGGTAGTGGTTGTGTTTTTCTTCTTTGGGATTTGCTAGTGTGAGATTGTCTATTGCCTGTGTTTTCATGCATGGAGCTAACTTCCTTGGGCTGGAGTTTTGCTGAGTATAGTAATCTAGGCTGGCATCTGTGGTCTCTTATTGTCTGCAAGACATCTGTCCAGTACCTTCTCACTTTTAGATTCTCTATTGAGAATTCTAGTGTAATTCTAATAGATCTGCCTTTGTATGCTACTTGGACTTTTCCTTTGCAGCTCTTAATATGCTTTCTTTATTCCATTTGTTTCGTGTTTTGATTATTATATGGCGAGGGGACTTTTTTTGGATCCAGTCTATTTGGTGTTCTGTAAGCCCCTTGTATCTTCATAGGCATGTCCTTCTTTAGGTTGGGAATTTTTTCTTCTATGATTTTGTTGAATATATTTTCTGTGCCTTTGATCTGGAATTCTCCTCCTTCTTCTATGGTTATTATTCTTAGGTTTTATCTTTTCATGGTGTCCCAGATTTTCTGGATGTTTTGTTTTAGGATCTTTTTGGATTTAACATTTTCTTTGACTGATGAATCTATTTTCTCTATTGTATCTTCAATGCCTGCAATTCTCTCTTCCATGTCTTATTTTCTCTTGGTGATGCTTACATCTGTAGTGCCCGTTCACTTATCCAGATTTTTCATTTCCAGAAATGCCTCTATTTGTATTTTTCTTTATTGCCTCTATTTCAGTTTCCAAGGCTGAACTGTTTCCTTCACCTGTTTGATTGTTTTTTTTTTCTTGGCTTTCTTTAAGGGATTTTTTGAAAAAAATTTTTTGTTTGTGTTTTCATTGATTTCTTTAAGAGATTTTTTTCATTTCTTCTTTAAGGGCCTCTATCATCTTCATAAAGTTATTTTTAAGATCATTTTTCCTTCTTCTTCTGCACTGGGATGTTCAGGTCTTGCTGTTGTAGGACCACTAGGTTCTGGTGCTGTCATATTGCCCTTTATGTTGTTGCATGTATTCTTACACTGCCATTTCCACATCTAGATTTGGGATAGTTATAAGTAAAGGTGTTGATTATTGTGATTCTTTGTTGAGTGGGTCTCTTGTTCCTTTATTGTCTGTTTCTTTTATTTTCTTCTGTCACCAGTGGCCAAGGGATCTGATGGTCGTCTTTTCCTAGGGTCCAGTAGGTTGTTTCAGCTGAGGTTTGTGGGGGTTTGGGTGCCTAAATGCAGCCTATCCTCCAGTTCTTCTGGTTTGTGTGGGCTTTGCTTTTGCCTGTGAAGTCTCTTATTCCTACTGGTGTGCCTGTGCCAAAGGAGACTGTTTTTCCAACTGGTGTAGGTGGTGCTGGTGCCTATAGGGGTGGTGGTTATTCCAGTTGGTGTGGGTGGTACTTGTGTTCTATAGAGGCTGTTGCTCTTCCAGATGGATTAGATGACGCTTGTATGGGGGCTGCTGATGTTGCTGTTGATGGTTGGGCAAGGGGAGGATGATGCAGTCAGTGGGTTTGGGTGGCAGAGTGGGTCATAGAAGTTACAGAGCCCAGTGGGTGTCGGTACAGTCTGCCACAGGTCTCTTACCTGTTGGCTAGCTGCTGGGGACTGCTCCAGAGCAGTGGAGATCTACCTGGGGGGCAGGGCCCCTCTGCCTTGCTGGGGCTGAGATGGGAGGGATGAGGGGCATGGCGTGTGCCCTGGGGATTCGGGCCTGGAGATTGGGGCAGTTTAGTTGGGGGACCAGTCACTCACCTGTCCTTCCAACTGGTGCAGATGGTTCTTGCACCTATAAGAGGTGCTGATGATGCAGTGGATGGTTGGGCCAAGGGGAGGATGATGGGTTCGGTGGGTTTGGGTGGGAGAGTGGGTCATAGAGGTTACAGAGTCCAGTAGGTGTTGGCTGGCTGCTGGGGAGTTGGAAAGTTTGGTTTATTTTTTGTAAGTGGAAAATATTTAATTTTATCCTAAAGCTTACAAGGATGTCCCTAGAGGAACATTAATTTTAATGAGTAAATTTCCATGGTTACCTCTGTTTAATACCTTCCTTGAAGAGTCTTTGGAGATTTAATAGAGAGTTTATTTTCCATAATGTTATGGAGGTAAACAAGTCTCTATTTTTCTCACTTATTTTTAAATATTAGTTTGTTATTTATTAATTAAACTTGTCTGATTTTATGCAATGAAGAGTAGGACCCCATGAGCCACTCCTCATCCATGACTGAGTGTTCATAAAGACAGTGTGGTAGCCATCACTGTTGTGAGTTCATGATTGCAATGGTCATATTGGGTGTAAGTGATGACCTTTGAAATTTACTCTATTGTCCAGATCTTATATATTTCCTGTCACCTACAATGTTATCTGAGCCCCAGAATGGGTAAGGTCAATGTCTTGTTTAGAACTGAGTCCCTAACTATCCTTAGCACCAGAAGCAACTGTGAGTCTATGTATTCACATCTATTCACTGCATAGAGAGGTGTCTCTGATAAATGGCTAGAGCAGCTTTTATGTTGGTAAATATTTTTTCTTTTTATCAAATTTTTATTGACACTTTGCAGATTTTAATTTTTATTGATTCTTTGAAGACTTCACAACATGCATCTGAATCGCATCCATCTCCCTGTACCACACCCCCACTTTCACCACCCACCATTGCAACCTTCCCCAAAACAAAATTTAAAGGAAAAATAAAAAACCAAATAAAACAAACAAAACAAAAACAGAACACCAACAACAAAGAGAAGAATGTCATCGTTGTCGCCGGTGGTGGAAGCTGTGGTGTGACCTGTTTAGTCACACATTTCACCCTTTAGTCCTTTCATCCTCACTTGCAAGCACTCCTTGCCATGAGTCATTGGTCTGGTTTGAAGCTTCTGGCTTCTTCTACACTATCAATAATGGGCTTTCACTGGGGCTCCTCTTGGGTATCCTGTTGTTTGGTGTCATGGAGATCTTGCAGTTTTGAATCTGTAGGTTCATTCCTTTCACAAGCTCTAACAGTTCATAAATGAGGTGGATGTTGAGGTGGGTCAACTCATAGCGCTGGTTCTGGGGCTGGGTGGTAGCTGGGTTGGTCAGCCTGCCATTTTTCCCCCATTGTCACCACTCAGTTGGGCTCTCCAGCACTGCTTCAGCCAGGCCACCCAATGCAGCCTGAACCAAGGAATGAGGCCAGTTCTCATGCTCTTAAGTCCTCTAGTCCAGCTCACTCACACTCACACCACCAGGGCCAGCTCCATTGTTTTGCC